TTACCATGCAGACTTCTTTTAAAAGAGCATATCTCCGCTAAGGACTGCTACTCGTTGCAGCATCCCCAGTCCTTCTAAGTCCACACTAGGTTCCACTGCACAGACAGAGCTGCATTCAGCCGGGATTGGCTGGATGTTGTGCCGAGACCGTTTCTTACTTCCTATTCGCTTTTATCACTTCTCAGTTCTACTGAAGTATCTCATTATTTCTGCAGCGTTGTAAATGTCATCCGAAAGTAGCATACATGGGCTATACATATACAGATTTCTTTCTGTGGAACCAGTGCCAGTACGTTGAAAGCTGTCGAGCACATTTCACCTCCCTTTATGTTGTTTTTTCCTGTGAGTGTGGTGGGAGAGGAGGAAGAGCAATTACGCAGCCAAATTAAGTGCATATTACCAGCACTTTCTGGCTCCGCTGAAGGGCAGGAATTTAAAGCATGTCCCACCAGCTCCATGCTGAAGGCCTCCAGCAGTCTGACCCCCCAGCACTTGATCCCACCCCCCTCGCTCTTCGCTGCCCCATCCTTCTCCATCTCCCTTCCTTTTCACATCTCCACTTTCTTGTACCCTTGCAGACGTGTATGCGACATGGGTACACATGCAGCCGGGCACACAGACACTCAAGCACAAGTCCTCTGCTAAAGAGCCGCAATAGTTAACCTCTGACCCCAAAGGATCAGACAACAGTGGCGATAAGCAGAAAGGGTCAAGCCCTGGAGTCAGACCGGCCGCTACTGCCACTGGCTCGAGCTCAGCGTGATGGGGCACACCTGTGATGCATGGACAGCTGGAAGGAAGTGTGAGGTTTGCTTTACCCAGTGAGGGGGCCAAAAGAGCTGAGGAAAATGAAAGTAAAAAGCCAGCAGAGCAAAACAAAGTACTCCCCCCCCCCCATGCCCTCATCCTAGCACCCATCTGAGATCCTTCTTCTGCTTCATGCTCGCTTTCGGAATCGGCCGTCTTCCCTCTTAGTCCCAGGTTTCAATTTCTGGTCACAAAAGCTTACATTTTCCCCCATTGTTCCCCAAGCCCACCTGCATTCGTGTAGCAGGTAAGACTCACCAAACACCAACAGAAAGGTGCATCTCTGAAAAAAAGGTTTGCAAGGAGCCACATGACCTCAGGAGCCACTTCTGCTGACTAGCAGGCAGTATATGGAAACAGGTATGCGGCACCAAATCACTTTTTTGTTAACGACTTGCCTGCAGGTGACACATCGACTCCCAAGAGCCTTTAATTCTGAATACACAAAGCATCCAGGAGTCCGGCACAGGAGGCTCGGACGCTGCCTACCTTCCAGGATGGTGGGTCGTTTCCACTGCCTTATCATTTTGACCTTCCCTCGGAAGTCCTCGGGCCGGCCGACCATTTGGACCCTTCTATCCTGTCCCGAGCTCAGCGCCGGCACCTTCTCCATGCCGTTCCTTGGAGCGCAGTCATTGAAAAACATCTCTAAACAGATCCAGGTCCCCCTCGAGTCTTCAGGATCCCTTTCCCGGCAGCATCAGGGCAGCCTCCTTGGAAGGAGCTGGGGGGCGGGGGGGGTGGGGGTTCTCCTCTCTTGTCTTGCCTCCCCACCTCTGTCCCAGGGCAGTGAGATGAAATTGAAGCGACAGCGAGCCGTCCGCAGCCACGCTTGGCACGTTCTAACCCCCGCCCGGCACCCGTCCGGGCGGTTTAGCGAGTCGCGGCAGCACGCATGAATGGGGCAGGTGTAAGATTACTGGGCGGCCGCTCCTCCTTCCAGTGAAGGCGAGCAAATGGAGAGAGGTGCAGCGAGAGCGAGAGAGCGAGCCAGAGGGAGGGAGGGACAGAGACCAGTGAGGGAGGGATCTTGGAGTTTAACAAGGAGCCCAGAAGTCATGGTGCAAGAGCAACAGGACCGTCTGGCCTGGGAGGAATCCACAGCGGGCATTATGCAGACGGTCCGCTCCCCCTGCTGGCACGCTGTGCTTCAGCTTCCCCTTCACCACCGCTGACCGGCTGGCTGGTGACCCCACCCTTCCTGGATCACCCCCAGCGGGAGCTCATATTGCGCCTCCGTCCATCACGTACAGCAAGTGCACACACCTCACACCGAAGGCCAGCTGCTCTGTACCATGTCGGCTGGCAAAAGCCAGTTACACCTTCACCCTGAGGCCGAGACGCAACTGGGGCCGCAGTGCAGCATCCAGTCACTGAGCTCATTTATACACTGCAGGCCAGAAGTTTGGGCCCATCCTCCCATTGTTTTAAAATAAACCATACACTGCTTTTTCAAATTTTTATTACAAAAAAAAAATAAACACTTGTTTGACTGGTTTTGAAGTGTAATGTAACAATTTACTGTGCATTGTAAATGCAAGTTAATGAATGTAAGTGCCTAAGTATGACTTTCATCAAAATATCCGCCCTTTGCCTTCATCACAGCAGCACAGATTCACAGCATCCTTTCCAACAATTTTTGGAAAGAACTTGTCCAAACCTTCCCAGCACATCTTCAAGCATGCAAACAATTCTGTCTCATTTGCTAGATGCTCATTTTGAAGTTGTTGGTTTATCTCGTCCCACAGAGCACAAGACCTGCTGCTCCCAGTCCTGAATACTCCAGTGTTTGTGTTGTTTAGCCTATACTAGTCTGTTTTTCTTGTTAACACTTGTTAAGTATGCAGTCCAGCTGCTCTCAGTCATTACTTGACTGTATTAAGAGATACCGGCTTCCCTCTGTTCACATTAATCGTAGCCCTCAGACCATTACAGTCAAATTCCAATTTCTTTTGCACGACACACCAAAGTGTTGATCTTCAGCCTTTGATGTCGCTTTCCTTGCCCCAGTTTCCGGTCGCTACTGCTTCCTGTTGTTTCTCTGTAATCTCTAGGTCACTCATTGCTTAGAGACATTTAACATTCTGGCTATTTGGCGATGAGAGAACCCTTCTTTACTCAAAATTTCAATTTGAGCCCTTTGTTTAATTGTTACCTGTGCCTTTCTAACCATTACAAACAACAAAATAAATATTAATCAAAAATTCTGACTTATCAGTGATACAGTACAACAGAAGATTGAAATGAGGAGCAGAGAGTGCATTAAACCTCACAAACTGATCTGGGACCAGGCAGACAAGTGGCTATCATTTAGTTCATTAAGAAACAATCAACAGACGCCAAGAGAGAATCAAGTTCTGACATTAGTAAATAGAATTCCAACAGAAAGTGAATGTCAGTCTACTAAAGACAGAACTGATATGTCTTCTACAAAACCTGTAGTTTCAGCCTTTGTGGCTAAATAAAATGCTACTACAAGCTATAAAATACCAAAAACCAGTCAGTTACATTTGTTTTAAATATTTCTATTTTTTTGTAATAAAAGTTTTGAATCGTTTATTTCTTTAAAAATCAGAGAGTGTAGGTGCTTGTGACCAATACAGTTAATAAGAGACAAACACTCCAGTACTGTGTGACTGTGTGAACAGGCAACAGGACCCGGGGGGGCAGGGTGCTGTGCGTCTCTTCAAAATGTTGCGGCCGGCAGAGTGATGTCACCTTTGGGCCCCTGAGCACGGCCCTCACCCCCCATCTGCTCACCCCCCATCTGCACTGGCTGAGCGTCAGCCGTACCTCGCTATTGGTTAAAGGGTCTGGTGAATAAACAAACGTAACAAAACAGAAACAGTACAAAACCCAGGGTCCAACATCTCCGAAAAACTCCCCCGTTTAAAGCCCACAAGAATCAGCTGGTTTGTTCTTTCTTAGTCTCAGTCAGCGACTTTGCAAGCAACAGATGCAGAAGTGAAGCTGGTCAGTTTGTACAAACAAGGCAAGCTGGCAACTCCCAGGAAAAAAAGCAACGTTGATCCTGCAAACAGGAAACGTTGTTTAAAATTTAATGAGGCCCTCAGATAGAAATCGAAACAGACAAGGCCCTGTTCAGAAGGTCACCCTTTTAGCCCAAAAGCATGAACAGTTACAAGCACTATGTTTCACTTTATCAGTCGTCTTCAGTATGGGGAATTTTATAATCATTATTAAGCAGTATTAAAAACTCATTAATCTTGCCAGACGTATGCCTTCATTTTTACACTTTGAGGTTGCTCAAAACTGGAAGACAAAACACCCTTAACCGTGCTTTTGTATCCGCAACATCCCCTCCGGGCATTATTTTAACAATGACTTCACCTGCCAAAGAGTAAAACACAATATACCGTTGTTGTCCCTGCCAAAAAACACAACATTAGGCTGCTTAATATACTTCTGTTTTATAAAAGAAGATGCCCCCATCATAATAATAAAACACACAACACTTTTACGATCTTTTCAACAAAACAAATATTTTGAGCGATTCTGAGTAACCACAACATTCAAAGTTTACAATGAGTTAGTGTGCCGTAAGACGCGGGATCTTAAACGTACTAGTAAGATAAATTAGGCTCTGTAGCGTAAGATCGCCCTCTAGTGCCGGAAGATACACTCGGCCGAAAAGGGAAACTTTAAAGCGATCGTTCAACTTTAGATACTACTGAAATTTTGTTCTCCGTTATCGGTATTGTAATTTAATCGTCCCCGTCCCCCTACCGTGTCAGGACACTTATATGAGAAATTTATTTAAGTAATTATATTGACTTCATAAATACAACTGTCTATACAAAGAAAAGCAATTTAGTCTTACTGGCTGAAATATCATTTATTCATGACACATACCAAGCACATTTGTCAATCTCTACTGCACGTGCATAAAGCCTCTTTGCTCAGTTTTCTCGATATTCAGTACGTGTTAGAGAATAACCGAAAAGAAAACAGTAGTAGACTGAGGTTTACTTATATAAAAAAAAAAATCATATCCCATTGAAACTCCATTTTGGTAAACAGTTTTGACTAATTTGTAATGAAGCATGAAGAGATGTGATCAAAAGATCGAGAACTAACTATAAAACTATAGCCAGCATCTATGTGTTACCCAAGTCCATTTGAAATCTACTTTTTTCATAAATGCATAATGATGTATGTGTATCTTTCCACAGAAAACTGTAATGACCGACATATCTTCATTTGCCACACTAAACGGTGCATCAGTAAGGCGGTATTTCTGATGCACGTTTGCAAACCGCAGCCGCAAAGCTCAAGGAAAGCCGCCTACAGGAAGCAGTGCAATCCGGGAAGCTGTTGCCATGGTGAGGAGCATTCTGCTGTGGGTGGGTGCTGGGGGGTCTGGTAAATAATTGATATACATACTTGAAAAGCGCATTTAAACTCATAACTCATTACCAGGCACACAGCACTACCCCCGCCCCAACAAACAAAAATATCAAACGTATTGGAGCCGAAGAGACTTCAGCTGTTAATAAGACTATTAAAACGATTCCGACCACAGCTACAGTATGTAATTACCAGGCTGTCTAAGCTCACTAGCTGTTACGTAATCGAGAAAACACTTGTTTTTCCATTAGATCTTTTAATCTACTCTTTGATCTCGATTGCTACATTTCTCCTCACTGGATATTTCTTATTCTGAGACGTAGTGCTTGAATTCAAAGTAATACAATATATCTGAACCATGCATTCGTGCGTATTATATGCTTATCTATCCACGGAGATGAAATCTGCTGCTTCCGTGCAGGGCAGCTTTATCTTACTGACTGCTGCACTGTCCTTATAGTTCTGTTTCATGGCCCAGATACCCTCCTGCTGAGCCTGTCCTCCTCAGCTTACTCCTGTTTGACCTGGCAGCCCGGATTTTGTTTCTCTGACTCGGCAGAAACATTTCAGGCCACCTGTACGTGACTCCATTTCGGGCACCCCCGCCCCCCCGTGACTGGTCGCCGGCTCCCCTGCAGACCTGTTTGTCTCCCTTTTTGCCCATTGATCTTCTCACAGTGGTGAGTGTATCTAACCCTAATATCATTTTTGCTACTTATAGATGTACCTCAAGATTACTTGTAGCTGCAGCGCATGCTATCGGAACTCAGTGTTCAATGTCGCCTTTTCCCATTCTCGCAATTCTTATTGTCACTTTCTATCAGCTTTTAAGTTATTTTACTCCTATCCCTTTTCAAACAATTTTTCTATTACAGTCAACAACATCATTTTCTTTGTACACAATATTTGCCGCATTAGTTACAGCGCAGGACCTATAGCTTCACAATCAAGTAAGCTTTGGTAGTCATTTTACTACCAAATCGGTTGTTAGCTGAAAAGAAAATCTATGAGCAAACAAAATCTAGTTTTTTTTTCTATTTTACCGGGATTTTGACAAATCCCGGTAAAATAATACATGCATGTCCATGTGGCTAAAAGCACCCATACCGTAAGTTCCTTATCCTTCCCCTCTAGAATTAACATGCGGCTGTACCGCTTAAAGACCTCAAACTCCTCCCTGCAAAAAGGGCCTGTGTCCCAGCGAAGGACGTTTTCCCCCCACAAAGCTGGACCGTTCGGTTTTTTTTAAATCAACTACAAATCAGAGTGGGACGAACTTCCAAATGCCGTCGGCCGGCTCGGTGCTGGTTCGCTAACTGTAAACCTTGTCATGGTGCCATGCAGACACCGCAAAAAGCTGTGCTGATAAAGAACGTGGGCCGGAAATCCGAATACTTGTGGAAATGAATTTGTAACAAATTCATGCGTTCAAGGGTATCTCATGCAGTTGTATGTTCTGCGCACAGTACCAGAGAGAAAGATTTATGCAAATAAATTCAGGTTAAACAAGAAAGTGTAGAACTGAAAAATAAATTAGGCCTACGATCAAACCAGAGAAGGCAATTTTCATTGGTTGGCTTCACTGCCTTTCACAAACACAGGAGTTACTCTAGTAGCAGAAATTTGGTTTTACATGACAGGAGAGTGGCAGTACGTCCTGTTAAGTGCCATTTGGTAAGTAAATAGCTCAGCTGTGGTTAGTTGGCTTGATCAAAACATGTACAGTGAACAGCCAGGACCCTGACTTTGGCAAATAAATAAAGAAGAAAAAAAAACATTCAGACTGCGCCACACCACTGCTTTATTTCTATATTTTATTACTATCCACTTAACAGATTTTGTCATCATTAAATATCAGCACCTTGTTTCTCTTTCTCCTTGACCGTTCATGTTTCTGTGTATTGATTTAATGTATCAATTCAGCTGTGTAAATAAAAAGTACAAATACACCAATATACATGCAGTATATGAATTATTGAAGTTTACTAGGAAAATGAGTGGTCCCCTATTCCCAACATTGGTCATAGTTGTGAAATATTTAGAATAAAATAAAATCTTTAACCTCATTGTTGTATCCTAAAAGATTCAATGAGGCAGGTCACTGCACCCTGCTGTGCATTATATTACAGTTCAGTGTGTGCCTGATGTATCCTACGGTTGCCATCAATATTGCAACAACTCATTAAACATAAAGTATATATCCCTGTACCCATCCAGAGGACCACAGGCTCTGAAGACTTATCTGTAGCTCCTGAGCTACATGCTTCCTAGACCATCACATCTGTGACTTTCCCACAATGGATTGCAAATAGTCTTGATAGTCAGCTTATACCAGTCATATGACTGACCATCGTAAACATCCAAAATAATGATAAATGATGCTTCAGCTGCTTAACCCATCTAGTTACTATGGTCTGACAGTCAGACTGCACTCAGGAATAACCTTCATGGTGTTTTTTTTTTCTTTTTTAATCACAGGATATCCCCAGCAAGAACCATTACTCACTGTCTCGACCATATAAAGAGGGCAAGTGAGCCAAATATCGGTGTCCCATTGGGGGGAATCCAAGATTCTGCCTGACAGATCTGCCTGAAACTTTGTAATAAATGACAAGCACATTTCAAATTCTCTACAACCCGGCAGCATCTTGTCAGTATGTTGGCACTTTGATACCAGATAAATGGACACGAACCACACTAGCTTAGCACCACAATATGACCATTATTTAATGCTGCTGGGGTGTTTACACAGCTGAATATACATTGGGTCTAGCATCCCGCTGAGTATCAACAGAACCCTGCTGCATTTATACACTTATTGTTTCAGAATCAACAACAGGCCTTAGACTCCTGTACCTATCTTGTAATCTATATTTCAGTGTATCCTTCAATAAATCTTACAACATGTCATTCATTAAATGTGTCAATAAATCATGAAAGATAAATTGAATGATTTATTGACATTTAATTACTGATGTATTTATTGTATAATAGATTGACACATATAATTAAAGACATGTCACAAAAAAAGCTCCGTGTGTCAAAGGCCTCCTATGTGGACGGTCCTGCCCACTTGCGGTCCCATTCTTATTTCACACACATCCTCACGCCTCACGTGTCTCTCAAGCTGCCAGCTTGGCACAAAGGGGGGGTTGGGGCGGTTGGGGGGGGGTTGGGGTGGCTGGGGCTGAGCACTGACGCACACGCGATGTGCCTCCAGTTACCACAAGCCAATTATGTTGGTTGGCTTCTCATATCGATACTCTTTACAAGCCCTCATTGTCCAGCCTTTTCAGAAGACATTAGGGAATCAGTCATCAGCTTGGACTCGACAGTCAAACAACAAGTTTTGGGTGTTACGGGGGATCGGGTGACATGACAGGACAGCAGGGCTTGGCCGGGTAGGCCACTGACAGATCCATTAGGTCCTAGATAAATGTGAATTTCTAATGTCAATAAAGGATGCAAATTAATTTATATGCAGGGTCAAATCATGGACAAAATGGTGCTTAATTTTCTGATAGTCAAGTTAGCATAAATGACCAAAGATTTATTTTCATTTCAAGTACACAGCACATAAGGGCAAAATAAAAATTAGCATAAAATATAAGGCTTGACCATTTTTTAATGCTAATTAAAGTTTAAAAACTTTCCTAAATGACTACTGCTTTTGCTTCCTGTGAAACCAATTACCCCAGTTATAAATAACCATGAACATACTGTGAGGCTTTGTGGTGGCCTAGAGAAAGCTGATCTGAATCAAAACGACGGATAACATCCATTTCATGTAACTGAAGGTGTTTGCACTGGTAGCCATGGTGAAAAGAGGCATGTAACACTATGCCTGGACAGAGGAGTCCCCATCGATTAGTCACTTTTACTAGACACTTCTACGACTGACCATCACTCATCAGTTATGATGCAAACCTATGCAGTTCCATGCTTAACACTGCCTAATAACTAAGACAGCAAGGAATTACAGATACAGACGTTTCAATGACGTGTAACTTTTTCCTAATCAGTAAATATCATGTATCCTTTCTTAACAAAAGTTGACAAAAAAATATAAAACAAAGGCGCGCCCTTGGATTAAGCTCCCATTAAAGCGCAGCCCTTCAGCGCAAAGTCGCATCGGCATCAGTTACACAGCTGAGGGCTGGTTGCTTTGCTGAACACATTCACACATTATGACAAGAACTCAGTCCACTAATGACCTTTCCCCAGTACTACTGGGCTTATTTTACATTTTAATCAACTGGATGTCAAATAACTTAACAGTTGAGAAACAATATGGCCTACCTGTTACTTATTCAACCGGATTTTAATACATCTCCCTTCTTTCACGAATGACACCGCTTGCCAATAAAAACCAAGTATGTAAAGCTAAAAAGCATCCGATTGAAACGATGGTTGATTTAATACTGAAGTAGACGGGGTACATTTCTGTATCAATTTGGAGCAGTGCCGTGTGCACGCAGGCGTTTTAGCAGCGTGTTACAAAAACACATACAGTAATCCGACTAACCAAAAGTGTCAAGTGCACCTTTCACTTCAGCGCAATGAAAGTCGCTCGGAAATATGACACCTTTAACTTTCCGGCACAAGGAAATAAGAAGTCAAATTCAATGTAAATCTGCGCGTTGGTGCATTTTGCGCAATTTGTTAGCTGTAAATAGTGAATTTAAAAGAGTCTACAATAGTAATTTGTGACCTAGCAAAATTTATCTCAACCCCCTCCCACTCCGATCGATTTTTAATCCCAGCCGTGCCTTCCGCTAATTTTATAGAAGACGAAAAGGTTTAATTGAGAAATAGCTAATTAAAAACACTAAACACCACTGTTTTTATATCAAGGATTTAAATGTACCACATATATGAGTAAAGTTAAATCCTTAATGTAAAAAAATAGTGCTTAAAATAAGTACGGTTTGAATTTCATATATATATATATATATATATATATATATATATATATATATATATCCCCAGTAAAATGACTACCTAGATTGTAGACTGATGTGAGTGAAATTCAAAAAGCGTTTTTTCCCCTTGCATTACTGAGTCAGCTCTTATTTGGAGTTTAATGGCACAGAGCCGCAAAAAGCTTTTTCTAAGTCCCACTGCAGAGAGGCATTAAATATTCACACGAGTCTCAGGAGCAAATGAACTCGAGAAAAATACACCAAAATTCATAGATAATTACAGTAACTGGGTCAGCCACGAGTAACCAGAAAAGTGACATATCTGTCTCAGTGACCACATCAGATAATAATAATAAGAATAAGAATAATTATTATTATTATTACTATTATCCATATAGATGAATACTTTTTGCCAAAAATTTTGCCTTAAATTTATACCCACCTTGATTGAGAAAATGATTTCAAATATACAGATAAATGTAAACAACAACAGCATATTGCAATAATTCACTGACAGAAAACATGCCGAGAGCATCTTTAAAACACAGACACCTAATTCCAAATCGATAAACACAAAAAGATGGCTGAGCTTATCGTAATGTGTACTTAGTCTTAACGGCAGTCCTTGTTCAAACAAGAAACTACATAAGTTTAGCGCTGTATTACACTAGGGAATTTATTTATTAATAATTTATTGACGTCTTACAGAGGCGAAGTTAACCACTGAAGCAATGTAATATTGGCTAATATGCGCGGCTTCAAGACTTTTTCTTCTAATGAACTTCCTCTCAAACGGATAAAAAGTTTTTATGAAATTTTAAGTAGCACAGCACATATATAATACAGGTGTACAACACACCCTTTGGAAACTGCTGTGAGAGGATGTCAACTTCCTAAATGTTTTAGCAATAGGCTGCATTAATTTTAAAGGGTAATGTCGGTCGTTTAATGCACAGAGGATCGCATACAGTCGTATTTTGGTAGTGCATTGCCAATTGCATGTTATTTTAACGGCTAATACTCAGTTTATAATGCTTCTTTTTAAGTGAGCGAGCCAACTGACCAGCTCACATAATGACGTCACTGAAAAACATTATGCGGGAAGTACTGTAGAAAGGCGACAAGGCGCTTCATTGGCAAATTAATATTTAGCCCGAAAGTACGCCTACAGGACAGCAATTAATCCGTTTGCTAGTACATTGCCAGTTTCAGGCACAGCCAGTGAACCAAATGGTTGTTAACACAAATAACAGTAAGCATATGGTTGTAGCTATAAGTGTAATAGACAATCAGATCATTACCGCCTGTACTTATGGTGTGAGCTTCAGTCCTCTATCCCACGGCCAAACATCTCACCAAAGTCCAAGCGATCCTTCAGGGTCCCTGAGTGCACTTGCTCAAGCGGCTGCTTAGCGCTACAATAGTTTTCTCCATCAGGTGGGCGGGCTGACGCCGCGGGAATAAGACGCCGCCCCCTAGCAACGGCACTGTTTCCGTCTGTGAGCGTGGTCAGATTTACATAAGGAGCGCGCCCACGGTGACGGGCCAGTCATCATAAAAAGTAGGTATCAAAAAAGCCCGCGCTTAGCAGGTCAGTGCAATTAATGCATTACTGTTACTGAAAAGATTTTATAGGTTATCTGAAAATGTTCCTACTTCCTCTATAATTTAAAGCAATACAATTGCATATGTATACAATCCCACAGCAATTTCAAAGAAAGAAAATAAAATGAGTGAGCAAGACTGATTTTCCCAGCCTAAATTGTGCCTCAGTCAAAATCATGACCATAGAGAGATTAGCAGCTTGCTCATCTCCTTTGGCATTTTTTTTTCTTCACATTCATGCTGTGATGCATTTTGCATAAGGCTCATGAATCCGAGTATTGACAGAAGGTGAAAATTGTGTGGGTCCTGTTCTGACGTTGCTTGCATGCTAGATGTGTCAGGGTTGTTCCTGATAGCACTCAAAGATCTGGCAAAGTACACTCTGACACAAGGACTCAATGTTCACGTGTTCTGTATGCCAGACTGTGATATTTCTCATCTAAATTCTGAACACAAACATGGTGTTTTGTTCCTCGGCATCAGTGTTCAGTATCCAGAATTTCACCTGATAGGGCTCAAAGTCTGTTTAATTATACACATTAAAATGTGAATCGTAACTTTTTTGTTAAACCTACAGACCAACCTACTCCATCTGAAAATTCACTTCTCAGTGAAGGAAAATTAAGCATTAGCCTCTATATTGTGCTTATGGGAAAAGAGGTTTTATCTGACAGTCAGACAAACTAGACGTCTAAGAGACTCAGCATGCAATCAAGCAATTTCAGCAGAACCCCTTAAAACATAAACGATCTCAACAGTCCAGTAATGGAAGGCATAGAGACAAATTCACAAACAAGCTAATTATATCCATTTTCCATAACCATGGAGAGCCTGGAGCCTATTCTAGGATGCGCAGAACACAGGGCAGGAAACACCCTAAACTGAATGCCAGTCCATCACAAGGCAAACACTCAAACACAATAACATACTGGGGGGTAGTCAGAGGCGCCAGTTCACCAAACCACATGTTTTTAGACGGGGGGAGAAAATGTACAAGAACACATTGCAGAGGGGTGGCAGTCTGGTGGGGCTGCAGTGTTACCCACTAAGCTACCATGGTTCCTCAACTCAGTATATTCTACTAAAAATGTAAAAAGTAAATTTACTGTTTAAAAAAACTCTATGTAAACAACACTGACTTAGTGTAAACTAGGTTAATTGTGTGTGAATGGAACAGATGTAAGGAAGCCTAAGGAAGTAGTATGCAATAAAAACTCTGCACTGGGAGTTTAAGCTTAACAACCAGACAGAAGATAGAAGATTGTGGAGGAAAGCCATGTATATGCTCACCAGGAATTAGAGAATTCTTAAGAATAATAAATAATCAGGTTTGGGATTGAAGGTTTTGATGGTCTAATTTTGATGAAG